AACTTTGAGGAGCAAAAGAAGACTCCATGCTAGTGTTTCCTCACGCTTTCAACATGCCAAACCTGGCTTGCGGAAACTGTTTGGCATTGTTTGGCTTCCTCTGCGTCTCTTCAAGGTTGACTTGTTGTTGTACACCCTGGGGATTGCAATCCCATCGGGAGCTAGGCTAACCCCAACCTGGCCGCCATCGCCAGATACCAGGCTACCGTGTTTTTTGCAATTCGGGCTACGCCCCCAAGGTGTACCACAACTATGATTAGGAGAATTTAGGAGATCTTCAGAGTATGCGGGCCTCGTGAGCAGGATCGTAAAGAACAATTGCTTTCTTTCAAAACACTTCACAGACGAAGCTCTGTCAACTTGGACTTCACTTGCTCTCACGTAATCATCTAGTTGTAGGATGTGGACCAGGTTGCGTGGCCACGAACGGCGATCGGATTTGAGCTACCGAAACCCAAAAAAGGGGACGGTGTGAATGGCTCTCGGTAGGGAAAGCTATGAACCACCCCTTGTGGTCATTTGTGGTTCTTCTGTGAAGTCCCCATGTTCATTGCCAAAACCACTGTTGCTTCCCTACTGAGAAACCAGCAAGTGAACCTGGTTGGGGAACGGCCCAGGTTCATGTTGGCTTGGTGGAAGGTATTGGGTTATCAAACCTTTCGACCCGACTGAAAGCACGGGGCTCCCCCGGAACAACGCTTCCAAGTGGCCGGAGAGATAGCTTTTCAGCCGCGACAAAAACAAGGTGGCCGGCTCTAGAAGTTTGGATGGAGGTATGATTTATGATTCCGGGGTCTAGTTCGGGGTGTGGTTCATGCTGGGCAAAATGATTTCCATATATGACACTTCTCCTGCAATCCTTGCACACCAGCGGGCAGCACAACGCAAACCGCACCAAGAAGCAACAAGCTGCACAGATATGAGCCCTCGCGTCTCGAGCTCCAAGTGCTCAGCCAGTGCTGGCGCCAGCGACGGCAGTCCAACAGGCCCCGGACGGCTCAGTGAGCTTAACACGCCCCTCACCAAACCTGCCCGGCCTCAATGCTGCATGTCCTTTCGCAAACGCTCGAATAAGTTTCAATGCTTCTCCCTACCCACGGCGCCTCGAACATTCAGCGAGTGAGTAGAAAGATACAGGTGCTTTGGCAGCACTAGCTATTTCCAGCGCTCTGGTCAAAGCCTTTCAGCTTCCTTAGGGCATTGGCGCTAGCGTGGCTTTTCGCGTCCGGGGTGCCAACCTGGTCTCTGACTTCCGGCAGTCTCGACAGCTTCTTGCGATGCGATGCTCTTCGCGTTTCTTCTCCGTGGCCATGGGACCATTGGCCCTCAGTCCAGGCGCCACTCGAAAGATACAACTTGTCCCAGGACTTCGAGTCATTCCTTCCCTGCCTATGACGGCGATCGCGTCCGAGATGAGCCAGCGCAGGAACATGCAAAAACATGTGAGAAAGCCTTCTTTTTGGGGCGGGGATTATTCAAGGGCATGGTTCAGGAAATGGTTCAAGACAAGTTGCCCCTCCACCCGGTACTAAAGGCTGAGCACCTTAAACTTTCGCAGGGACCCTGCATTTCCACCAGAAAAAAAAAAAAAAAACACATGTTGAAAGGCCAAACCCTGAGTGAGAGTTCACTTCACCTCAAGCAAATTGATAGATGTAACTTAATTATCATTTCAGGAGAGTGAAATTGATACCCTTCCTGCCCAAAACAGGCGCGGACCCTGCTGTTTGCCGAGGCCCGGTTTGGGGCCCTATTCCCGGAGTTTGAGGGACGCGTCCGGCAATCGGAAGTGCCACTTTGGGGGAAACCAAAAGGCCCAAGGCAACTGAAGGCCTTTGAGTTGCTTAGGGAAAGCAACAGAACAATGCGCTCCCTTGGCCCCACCTGCATGTTGGTGAGAAAGGCCATGGCCATCGCCCAAATCTCAGGCTCATTGGCTGGAGCCTCGCAGCCAATAGGGGGCAGTGTGTGTGTGTGTGTCACTTCCCGAGAAATTGAAACAACTTTTCGGTTACCACCCAACTTATTGATTAAAATCGTGCGGGTGCTTCCAAATAGGCCTGTAAAAGGTGGCTCTCCGGCCTGCGGTTGGCTTCCCCATGTCCGTATCAATGTTACGACACACGCCATTTGAATCTTTGGTGCTCTGAAAACCATGTGTGGATTTGGCTTCCCTTCAGCGCCACTCAACAACAGGTCTTCTGGTTGCCAAACCGATCTACAATTTCCAGTCACAACCTTTTTTTACGGGCACTTTCCAGCATATCCTCCTAGGAAGGTGGGGTCTGGAAAAAGGTAGAACAATCATCTCTTGAATGACTCACGTCCAAGGATGTGGAACTTCAGAGTCGCTGCTCAATACAAAGCTGGGCAAAGGAACATGTCGTCATGTGGGAGTGGGTCGAAAATGGGTACCCAAAATGAAACCCTGGCAAATGGAAACAAGGACTAAAACCTGCGGTCCAATTCCTGGGGGTTTAATTTTGACCCATACCCATATTCCCTAGCAAACCGTCGGCTTCATGGGATCAGCACGAGAGACCTTCCTGGGGCAAGACAGAAAGGGTGACAGGTCAAAGCGCCCAAAGCACGCCATCAGACCCTGACGGCCGCCTGTGTCTCCAAGGTCTCCTGGACGTCCCGACCGCGGTCCTTACCCGAAAGCCAGAGGGGGGGGAAATGGACTTGCCCACGTTTTGGTGCTTGAGTTCAAAGGAGAACCCACTCCAGAAAATGAAGAGATACTACTTTTTGAAGGAAACCACGCTAGAATTTGAACACTTTTGTTGGTAAACTTTGAAGGAACGCCAACAAAAACGGCCAGGGCTGATCAGTCAGAAGCGTCTGTCGGCACGTCGGCGTCCACATCGAAGTCGTCCATGGCACATTATCACCGGACGGATCGCGCACCGACGGATTTGAGGCTAGCGGATGAATCAAAAGGCGGGTGTGGGTCAACAAACAGGGTAACCCCAAAATGGCTTGCCCTGGCAAATGGAAAAGACTAAATCCTGCGGTCCAATTCCTGGTGGTTTAATTTTGTCAGGCCATGGAATGGCTTGGCTTGGGACTCTTTGCATCGTTACATCTTTCAGCAGATCTTTCGGAGAATTTGTCGGAACGTGGGGCCCCTGATCTGGGTCCCGTGGTACCGGCACCTCGATACATTCAAAGGAGTTCCCTCCCTACCCACAGCGAAATCCCAATCCTCAAGACCTCAACAAGTTTATCAAAACTTGGATTCGGTCTTCAAGAGTAGTCCGAAATGCGAGGATCGGGCTGAGCCCATTTGTTGGATCTTATTCAAAAATTGAGGGTCATATTTGAATCTCACTCTGGCAAAAAGGGCGCAGGTTCTTTCACTTTTCTTAGCTGGGTGTTGAGCAGGGCTGGCATGGAGATGTCGAGAGGTTCATCCCCGAAACCCGCCATGGGACCACGTGAACGTTTGGGGGGCGGGGGCGGTTTCATAAACCTCGACTCCCTACGCCTCAAAATGGCTTTTCCAGCTTCTTGTGGTATCCAAATTATGCGTAACCCCTGGGTGGAGACTGTTGCCAGGTTTCGGGATCTATGATCAGCAAACGGACCGGACCCGCTGACAAACCAGCAGCACTTGCTCAAAGGATCTGAACAGTTCAAACAGCTCTGCTTGGAACCTTGAAGAAACACAATTCGGGGGCGAAACCGTTTCAAATAAAGGAACACCCACTTGCAAAAGAAAACCGGTTGCCAGGAGTCACAATGAAAACCTGCTACCGCAAGAGGTCTACCCCAAACCTGCAAAGAATCCACAAAAAGCTGCGCCTATGTCAGGACCGTTGTTTTTTTGTTTGGGGGAAGGCTGTGTCGCCGGGAAACCAACCAAAAGCTGCCTGTTTTGGGGCTCCCAAGGAGGCAAACGGTTGGGCGTCTTTTCCAGGAGCTTTCCACCTGCCAGCTCCTAGCTCAATGAGCAGAGTCGCCATAACATGGACGCGGACAATACGGAGACCTTCGGCTAACATCAATTGAAGCTTAGAGGTACCCGCGCTCCCGCAGGTGGACACTGTGCCCCTGAAGTTACGGTTCCTTGACAGGTGGTCCCCATGGAAGAACATTTTCAAAAGCCAAGTGGATGGGTCCATATGAACCTATCGATCACACCTGAGGTTCATATTAACGCATAGAAGACTGCCTCTGACCCCCAAATAGCCATGCACTACCAGAGATAATGTCCGCTGATCCATGGCACACGCACTGGATGCCTTTACAAGGCCCCCAGGATGGATCTACAATGGGGACTGCGCACTGGCAAGCGCCATGGCGCCTGACATGAGCTTACCTCAAAATTGGACAAAACAAACAGCTTGGCGATGCTGCACGCTCTTCCGTGCAAATTAGATGTGAAGGAAACGCAGCTGTTGGCCCGTCACCATGCACACCAGCTGCACGTTCCACAGGCCAACATGTGTCCAACTCTGCGAAGCTCCCTGGGGGAGCCTTGCAGCGTAACTTGCATTGAAAACAAGCATGTCTGCTCACTTTTATAAGTGAGTTGGAGCTGTTTGGATGAGCCGCATCTGTAGAAGGATTTGCATAAGGTGCACAAAAAGCGTCCACCAGTGACTGCTTCCATTTGTCATGTTTGGACTTGAACAAGTTGGCCGTTGGGCGAAGAACAGGGGCCCCTGAATGCCGTTCTATATCCATTCGCTGGCGAGAACTGCTCACCTGACTGGCTCGCACCAAAAAGTGCCAACTCGCAGATTCTCAAAAACAAAAACATGCGCGGAATGGAGAGCGTGAACCCCCTCGCCGGGCCATGAATCCCATTGGGATCTGCGGGCTTTTGAAACCCAACCGGGCTCACCACGCGGAGCAAACTTGCGATCTGGAAAAATGTTTCTCATTCAGCGTCTTGAAATCAGGGCTTTTTGTAGCAGTCCTGGGTTTGGGCCTGTGGCAGGCTCCGCATGTCCAGAAAGAGAGGTTGGCGAAAATTGTCGGCTTTTCGGGCGTCACTTCTCAGAACTGGCTGGGTTGATCACGACGGGCTTCCTCCTGCATTGGCTGCCGAAGGTGAGCGCTGTCACGATGGCCATCAGCACCTTGCGGGAAAAAAAAGAGAAGACTGGCGCAAAAGGTCAGCCCAAAAGCCCAGCAAGTGTTGCATCCAAACGAAAACGAGGAATCGCCGCCAATCTGCGGGAGAGGCATAATGAGGAGTGTCTGCCTAAATAAGCTCTGGAGTCATCGTCTGGGCCAGTGTTTGTCTCTTCCCTGGCGGATCCCACAAGGAGCCCGCAGTCGATGAGAATTTCCAAGTAAACACCCGGAGCCCGCCAGGCACTTTCGCGCGCTGTTCATGCTTCTTGGCGTGTTCACGCCCACTAAGCAAGTAATGTGAGTACCACGGAAGCTCTTTCGCTTTCTTCCTGAACATTGCTCCCAAAAGGGAGACTTCTATTCGGTCTGCTGGAACGGTTCAATTGAATTCATAAGGTTTTGGATGATGATCAACTTACCATCTTTTTTTAAGAGTTCTCCGCTCGTGAACTCCGAGGCGCAAGAAGAATGACCTGCCCCAGCACCTTGTCCTCCACCAACGCGGACACAGCCCTGGTCACCCCGAAGAAAGCCAGAAAAAGAGTCGACATGGCCAACATAATGGCGAGATTCACAAGGACCTCCTTCCACTTCCTCAGATTCGAGCGCGAGCTGGTTCCTCAGGTGTTGGTGTGGTCCAAGCGAGCAGTTCAATTAAAAGCAGTGGCTTAGGACAATATTTGGAAACATGGAAAATGAAACCAGTTGTTTTGGAATGTTCATGGTTTCGAATCAACCAAGGATTGGTACTTCCCAAAAACACAAAGAACCTCCTTGCTGGATGCCTCAGAGAAGGGAGACCAAAATTAAACCGCCATAAGCACTATGTCGGCATGTGCTGTACAGGAAGGCTATGTTGAGATGCGCCGCGGCTCCGCTGTTTCTTTCGGGGGCCAAGTAGGTGGTCAAAAGGCTGCACACAAAGCATCCACCCAACCAGCCTGTTTCGGCAGTGCAGCAACGTAACACATGGTAAAACCCCAATAGATGGCTTGTTTGACTTAAAACAACTGGTCTTCCCTTGAGAGGAGCTTGTAACCACCTTTTGTGGGGTGTCAGAAGGAAAACCGGACCTCCAGTACCTGCAGTCCAGCTTGTACAGGTGGGTGCATGGCTTCTGTTCAGAGTACAGCCGTTGACAACCGTGGAGAGATCACATTCTCAATCAAAGCAAACTTGGTTCAGCATTTGGAGAGTTGTCAAAAATGGTCTCTTTTGGGACCTACCTTTTAAGGGATGCCAAAAACTACCCCCCACTTGGGCAACTTTGACTCTGACTCACGAGACCACCGATCACGCATTGAACCCAATGCCAAAGCCCAGCAGCACCAAGCCACCATATGCCGTGTGGACCCACATGGAGTTCAAGCGGGCTGCCGCAATTTTTCAGCATTCATTCTGGTGCGTTGCCCATACGGTTCCCTCTACACTGAATGTTGGAATGTGTATAATGTATTTCTTCCTCACCATGGGGCATGGCCAAACGTGCCAAACACTTCTTTTTGGGACGGTGCCTTGCGGCCATTCGGACAGCTGAGTGTCGCGTTGGACTTCTTGTGGCATCCTCAGCAGCGCGAGAGACAATCTGACTCCCATCTCTCTGCTCTAGTCATGGTTGCGGAGCATGACCAAGGTGGGCCGTTCCCAAGGCTCTTTCAAGGGATGCCTTGCTATCACAGAAAGTGGCCCTAAAGCCCTGTTTGCCACAACCATGTTGCTAGTAGCGAGCCCAAAGAACAACAAGCAAGCAAGACACACAGGGTGCCATGATGCACACGACCGGTGCAACGTCGAATGACTTTGGCAGTAGTATTCGAAAAGCCCAGTAGTTGTTCTGCTTTGCTTCCATACTCCCCAGCATGAAACCGGCTGGCCAATGCCAAAAACACACATCTCAACAGGCACACACACACACACACGTACAACAAGCAGAACAAGAAGCACAGCAGAAAAGAACACAACACATTCCAACCCGCGCACACGCTGAACAAAGAGCACAACATTCAAAAGAACACCCAAAACAAACTTCAAACTACCCCCTGCACAAATATACAAAGAAAGACACAACTTGGTCGATTCCAATGCCAAGCATCTTTGAATCAAGGTCATCCAGAAGACGAATAAGCAGGGCATGCTGCAGAGCCACCAATTGGCCTTACAGCCAAAAGCCACACGAGGCTTCCGGTGCAAAATACGGTTTGCCAGTTCTTGACTGCGGCTAAGTCTACCCCATATATACATAGACATACATATATATATATATATATATATGTATATCTATACATACACACATCCCATTCTATCTTTTTAGCCACTATATTGGTTCCTATTTTAAGAAAGCTGCCTTCATTTGGGAGGTTTGCCTTTGTTTCCCTACACTCCTAGACCTGCTTCCCTAAGCAGGCAAACAGGGCAAACCACAAATTCAGTTGCCGCTTTGTTGAGCCTGTGGATCTGTTTTGGGTTCTGGCGTGCCGTGGTCTCTCTTGCGGCCCGCAGTCATGGCGCTCGCAGGAAGAATCCGCAAGCATCCTCGTGCTTCAGGTGCTACTCAAAAGTCATATGCTTTCCAGTCATGACCAATTCCCTTTGAAACCAACAGAGAACAATATAAACGAGTCACGTTCCTATGGGCCAGCTGAAAAATAAGGGACCCGTTTTGAAGGCAAAAAAACAACAACAGGAAACCAACCACCAGCAGCATTCCAATGTTTCCACATCCCTTGGGCAGGTTTGGGCAAGTCGTTTTGTTTGCCGGCCCAAGTCTTCACGCGCCGGCCATAGACCATGCCCGAACTGCATCTCCCTCCGCCAGTCCCTGTCGAACCTCATCAAGCTTCCCAAGCTATCTACTGAGAAATGTGACACTATAGTACGAAGCAAATACCCAAACTGGAACACCACAAAACTGAAAGTTAGCTTTGGGCAAATGAGCTTTTACATTTTTTTATATTTGACTTTTCGGCTCGCTAACATGGCCCAACAAAACGGGGTTGGGGAACGGCAAAGCCACCTGCGGATTGTTCTGTTTACTATAAACAGGACCCATCCAAGTGAACACCCGAAGTTGGAAGCATTGCTATGCCAAAAAGAGGCTTACAGGCCGAATTTGGTCTCAACCAAGAAACCACATCATTTTGCACGTCCCCCGTCTTTTTCTTCGTAAAACAAAAGCAACGGAGCGCGGGCCCGTCGAGTTCGCCCGATTTTTCTGCGAGGTTACTCCGTTGATGGTGAAGGACATGGACGGCTGGAAGTGTCCATAGCGAAGCTGGGCAGCCACGGCGTCCATCATCCTGGGCACCGGTTGCATGTGTCGGAACGGTCCAATTCAACTCATCTCGGGGTGTCACACAAAAATGATGAGCTTGGGAGTTTAAAGGCGAGCCTCAAATTTTCTTCAAACGGAAATCCTCATGTGCCAAACTAAAATATCTCTACAGCCTGCCTCAAAAAAAAGAGTCGCCCTCATTTTACAGGGGTTTTGGTCATGCGTGCCTCGTCCATGTGTGACATTCTCAACCCGCTCCTCTCAGGCTCGCACCACTATTGGCACCTTCCTTGGAAGCCTTGCATTTATGTGTTTGGACAAACGAACAAGCGGGGATACGGGAGCGGGGATATGGGGGGATTCCCTTGGCGCCATTTTCCCATATCAAAGTTAGGTGCAGTTAGGGGGAATCCTCTCTGTATGCCGGGTTCCCCCTGTATCCCTCCTAGTTGGTTTACCTGATGTGCCTTACTATCAAAACGACTCGTCAGCTGGGGTCTTGGCGGCAACCTGATTGTCCACTCTACAAAGCCTGGTTGCTCCTCATCTATCGCAATTCAAAAGAGCCAATGTTCGGAAAGCCGTATGTTCATGCAGAAAGTCTTTGTGTCGGCTTCGTCTGGCTTTCGTCTCACGACCTGCCAGTGCCCCGTAAAAGCCTTCGTGTTTTCAGGTTCGCCTTTGATCTTCAGGGGTGTCACCCTACTCCACTCCAATATCCCCTACTCTTTAAAACAAGTAGGCCGACTTTTCGCAAACCCACACGAGAAGAGCAAAATGGTCGAAGTGTCGGCTTCATCGCTTAGAGGTTGAGGAAGGGACTGAAGTTGTCGCGAGAGGGGCTGAAGTTTGTGACAGTTGCAGTCGTGTTTCCCATACCGATTCATATGTCCCCAAGGCACGTGGAATCTTCCAGCAAATTTGCCAATCGTTCACCCCCAAGCCCAAGCGCCAAAGCAAGCCCGCTGTTCAAAGCAACCAACAAAATCAGTCTCGAACCCCAAGAGCGGGACCACATCGCGTCACTTGAGAACAAGACAATGTGTATACATATATATATATATATATTTATATTAATACGTCATGCGTACTTCGGCGGGGATCACCTTGAAGTCATCTTAGAGTTACTTGGGTGTGGGTGGGGTAGGGCTTGGGAGCATAAACAGGTTCTAGAAGTGAACAGGGATCACATCCGGACTTCCTCTATTGGAATAATCATTCCTGTCACTACTTGGCAGTGTGTTTGAAAAAGGATACTCGAAAGGGAAACCAACCGGGAAACCACCCATTTTTAGGCTCCCTCTATTGTAATAAACACATTCCCTCTTGGTCCTGATTCCGACCCCACAATTTCCTGCTCTTTGACCTTGTTTTTCAATCAAAACACTCGAATTTGAGGCCGTCTTTGTTGAGGGCACCCTTTGCGGGGCTGTTTTTTTTCAAGGTTTCTACGGGGCGATTCGGTCAGACCAAAGACCGGCCCTTCAATCAATGCCGTTCATGCGGCCGGCGGCTCTCCGCTTTCCGCTTTCTCCAAATCTCGTGGCAGCGTTTTCACGCGTCTCTCACAAGTCTCTCACTAAAAGAGTCAAAGACTTCTTCGTATACTGCAAGAAAAAACATCGGGCCGTCTCCGAAAGTTTCTCCCAGGGAAGCAAGGGAAAGCGGCACTTCCAACCGTCCAAGACTCCCCCAGGCGATGGGGGCGAAAGAGCCTACCAGCCACAGGTAGGGGAAGGCCCTCATGCCCTCGAGCCGCTGCAACACGCTGTGCATCACCTGCGACCGACGACTTGGAAAGCGAAAACAAAAACCCATACCGCCGAAAAAACAAAAAGTATTGGACGAATACTGGGAAACCAAAAGGGAAATCTAAAGGGAAACTAACCGGCAAAGCAAAAAACAACCAAAAAGGAAACAAAAAGAGAAACCGAGAGCGTTGAATTTTAAAGAAACGTTTATTCAATGGTGATGTCTCATGGCGTTGGAGCTCTCTGAAGTATCCACGAAATGGTGAACGGAAATCTAGTGAATTTTGAGATGCTGGGACATGTTGACCGCTTGTTTCAATGACCTGCAGGTCGTTCATGTGAAACTGGGCTGTGAAGCCCGCATGACAACGGCGCGCTGGAATACGTGCTTGAAGGTCCTTCTTTTCAAAGACGAAGCACCTTATGAAGGCTACATGAATATGATCTTAAGACTAATACACGGCTTCCAACCTTACATTTGCTGTTTGCCCCCCAGGCAACCAACGAATCACCCCTTTTGCCGTTGCCATGCTATCCTCTGTCAAAGGAATTGCAATTTTCTCAGCGGTTGGACTGGGGGGGGAGGGCGGGGTCCCTGGAACTCTGCGACTGCCCAACGTATCCAACATCTAACTTCTCTAATCTCCAACTTCTCTATCGTTTGCTTCATGCCCCGCTTAAGGGCATGGGGCATAGCCCGTACAGGGCCGCAAGCCCTAATCAAATGTCTTCCTTTCGCCCCGGCCCCAAAAGAACTCAATCAAAGTCAGCAGCAAAAGATGCTGGCAAGCAAAAACTAACAGGCAGCACCCTTGCAAATGCCTGAGCTCGGCTGCGTGGGTGCCAATCGCCGTGCCTTGTCCGCTGGCTAAAAAACCGGGCAAGGTCCTCAACAGATTTCATGAGTCTCGCACCATGCAGTGGAAAGCAGGACACATGTAATGATGAGGTTCACCAAAAGAGGGACCCTTGCAAGACCATTGTGGAAAAAGGGCCCTTGTGACCAGCCATTTGGACGCGGTCCCATACACAATCCACCTTGCTGTGTGTTTCTACGAATCACCCTGACACGGGTATTTTCGGAATACATGCTCATACATGTTCATGTTTCACAAGGGTCGGGTCCTTTTGAGCAGGCACAGCTGTTGCGTTGCGATGGAAGCCAACCATCATCTGCCAACCGGAAATAAGGGTCCCACACTTTCATCAAGCAGCCCAGCATCAGCTGTTGTTACCCCCCAGAAGGCTGTTCGCTCACTATTTGTGCAGCCCATGGGCCAGCTCTTTCCGACCCGTTTCTGCCCCACAACAGCGAGCAAACAATGCGATCAAGTAATTACGAGCCGTTCGATCGTACGTTCCGAACACAAAATGTGTGCAGGACCTTTACTCACTCCCTCGTTTGCTCCCGAGCCGCGCCTTAGATTGTACGACCACTTCGAACTGCTTCTCCGAACCGAACCAGGCGGAGATACACTTCGTGACCTGAGCTCAGGAAGTTTCGTGAACTCCCCGCACGACCCGGGCTCAGCAGCACTTCCAGCTTCCCGTCATAACCAGGAGAGCCATCAAAATGCTTTGCTCTCCCCAACCGTCTAGCGCCCCTGATACGATCCTGAGATTAGAGCCGAGAGGGTACCTGGCGCGTGGGAATACAGAAGATTGCCTCAATAAACTGCCAGCTTTCCACACCAAAAGTTTTGAGTGTGCCCCGACTTCACCAACAACTGCAGGATCTCGGACTTCGTCTTCACGTTTTTGGTTGTGTCCGAAGCGCCTGGATAATGATCTTTGGGGTTGCACCTCAGCCAAAAGGTCAGCAAGCTGATCTGCATCTAGATCCCACGTTGACACTCAAGATACTGCCATATCCAAACAAAGCTGACCAACAAGAAGTGAGAGAACCTAGAGATCATGCCAGTCATCTTCCCAAGAAGCGGCAGCAACACATCGAAACATCTGCAGTAAAGCAACATCAGCGAAGAGGGTATTCAGGATTTCTATTCGATGCGGTGGGCTATGCCAAAGCTCTGGAGGTCTTGCGGAACACTTCCATTCACCCGCCACTGCAACAAGGGTCCGGCAGTGATTGATGTATGGGTCAATGCGGAAAAGTGTTCCAAACACATATGCCCCTGCCTGAAAAGACAAAGGTAGTCGATACTTCTTGTCGTGAAACAATATTATAACGGCCAGACCGAGAGTAGAGAACTGCAAATCCGCGCTCAGCCCTGGCAGTACGTATACTCTTCTGGATGGGCTTTAACCATGGCCGCGATTGATACATAGGGTTAACAACCAGTCGCGGGGCGCATCTGTTCAAGGACCCCCCCCCTTTGTTTCTCCTGTAATCATCGCCGCACACAAATAAGTCCACTTTAAATTGGACCAAGGGTTTCAATTTGCAAAGTCAAAGCAGCCAAAGGCAAAATGGCCATGGGTCAAAAGCCCGTACCCCCAGTGAACATCCCAATCCCCACTAAATAGACAACACTGGGTGGTGCACCTATCCCAAGATGGTGCCATTGGTTTTGACCCACAGCCAAACATAGGGATCCCTGAAGGGCCTGAAGCAAACCTTGCCTGAGAACTGAAACCCTTTTCCACCAGAGGAGCGATGACCCGGTCGCACAGCATCGGATCGCCCTTCTCATCCAAGTGGTTCACGCCTCAGGCTAAGGAGTTGACCCCACAACCTTGGGGGGGTTGGCTTGGCCCCAGAACTCTTTACCGACGCTGAGAAGCAATGGATTTACAATGTCTCGAGTGAAAGAGGAGCTGCCACCCACGGAATAATACATTGGTATCTTGGTACAAATGTGCATCCATGCCGCCTTGAGTGGTCGACCCGGCAACTTGATTAATCATGGACAAGGGATGGTTTGCACCAAACACCACTCCCTGACGGTTTCGTAGTCCAACTCTCCTCACTACCCCGGCCCTGTTTCCCCGAAATACAACCGCTCCAACGCGCTCAACAAACCAACCTACTCAGGCATATGTCCAATACATTGCGAGTGGAAATCCGATCAGTGTAATTACCTGGGCTGTGCACTGTAAGCCAAGGTTGAACCAATCCAAACAAACTTAAAGCAACCTAAACCAAGTTAAATCAACAACCAACCTTAACAAAGATATACCAACCTTGTGCCCCCAAGAAAGCAAAAGACAACAAGAAAACAACATACAAAGAGCCAACCATAAATCTGACCAGCCTAAAGAAATTTAAGTTAACTTAAAACAACCTGACCCACCCTGATATAGCCAGCTCAAGCTGCCTTAATCAGACTCAAATGCAACCTAAAGCAATCTAAACGATCCCAAAGCAACCCAACAACTGCCTGAACCGTCCGAATCTCACCCAATCAACCACCCACCTACCAACCCAACCCCCAAGCAACCAAAACCAGAAACAACCAAACACCAAACCCATGAGCACGAAGCTTCACCACCCTTAATCCAACCAACCCAGCCAACAGCAACTTAAACCACCCTAAACTGTCCCATGTGCTACCAACCCAAGCCAACATGGACATAACCCGGACCAACACTCGTCGGGCTAAACTGCCCTGGACAAACCTCAACGGACCTCAAACCAACCTAGGCCTACCTAAACTTGTATAACTACAACATGCCCTACCAAAACCAACACGGACAAGCTTGACCAAACTTGACCGACCTAGTTACACTGACCCGTACCAACCCTGCAGACCTACCTGGACTCTGGACCCAATTCAACCTAAACCAGCCTAAACTACCCTAAGCCAGCCCAAACCGACCTAAACCAACCCCAAGAACCAACCTTCCTGACGCAACTTTGACTCACCAGCCTAAACCAACTTGCGCAAGCAAGTCAATCAACTGACCCAATCGCAAACCACTAGGGTTGGAACCGGTTCCAACTTTAAACAACTGAGCCATGGGCGCTTTCTCGCGGGGAACCCACAGGTTGTTTCAACAATTCCTTCTTAACCATGCCCCAACTGCTGGTACATTGAACATTGAACCATATTCTTTGGGTTGTGACCAGCGTTCCCATGTTTCGGGTCTCATGCTGGGTCTTGGGTTGTCCCTTTTAATATCAAAGTGAACCCTCCAACCCTTGGCAACCCAACGAACCCGTCCAGAGATTGGCGGAGGCACTGCAGCACCATGCCTTGGCCTTGTGGGTCCTGAACTCCTTCATCTGCGCCTACGGCTGTGAACCAACGAACGAGTGAAAGGCCGAAGGTCCCCTCTTTGCCCTGGACCCTGGAATTATGGATAGCATCATATATATATATATATGTATGTATGTATGTATGTATGTATGTATGTATATATGTATATACGAATGAACGTACGTACGTACGTACGTATGTGTTGTCGTACAAATATAAATTCTAGGCTCAGGACCGAATAGTGAACCACCTCACCCCCGATTTGTGACGGGGCCTTGGCGAAAGGCAAATGCAACTGCCAGTTTTTGGGCGGGGTAAAGTCCTTAAGTTTCTATTGACCAGTTAGCATTCCGAATGAGCCTCTGAATGTTGAGCCTTCCGAAAAGCCTTGAACAACTGGCAAGGTACAATTGAAGGTGCAGAAAGTGTGGCCCGGGAAAAACGCCACCCTCAAACCCGGATCTGAGATGCATGCAATCTTTCCATAATGCCAAGCCGACCTTGTATGTCACGATCTCCTTCCAGTTTGGTTTCCTGTCAAATCCAAACTGGGATGGTTTCCAATCTTAGCAGCGACTTACTTGCCCAGGGTTCCAGTTCCGCTCTGCTTGGTCGAAATTTGGGCTCACGCAAACGCGAACAAGCACCGCCAAGCACAGCAATACGAACATCCAAGCAAGCAACCCAGCAGCCAACTCACGGCGCAACAAATGCTTCATGTCCTGCCTTC